TTTTTTCCTAATGTGTAGGGATCCTTGGATCTCCCCCATTAAGAGTGAGGCATTATAAAGCTCTTTTGAAAGGAGCAGTTGAGAGAGAGGGAGAATGCAAAGGTGCTGGTTTACTGACTGGTAAGTCTCACCATAGGGATATCAGACTGTGATCTGCCTTTTACATGGGGAGACACCCGTGTATCAGGAAGTAGAGGGTTTCTGAGGCCTGTTCAGCTTGTCCAAAGAACCCTTCATTCTCAGGCTTGGGTGCCAGAAATATGCCTGCCTGCAAGTGTCCTGAATTGGAATGGAGAAGGAGGGGGCTTTGATTCCAGAGTTCATTTTTCATCTAGTGCTCACCCTCACTCCCATTCTGAGCTATGCCAGTGTTCTCATCTGGGCCTCTCCAGTTAAGTTTCACAGGGGACTACACCTGCAGTCTCTCTCAAGGGTGAGGGCACACAGAGTCTCCTGGCTGTGGGGCACGACAACACTGGTGGTTTCAACCACTCAGTGTTCATATTCCTAACCCTTGTCTTCCAAAGCTTATAACTTCTTCCAGCTAAAGAAGTCAGTCCCTTTTTTCCACTTTCCATGGTCTTCCCACCTTTGTCTCAAAATTGTTCAATGCTAGTATCCTCTCAAGATTTTTTTGTGGCTGCTTACCTTTTTTATTTATTTACTATCATTTTTTTAAAAGAGTGCAGAGGGGCGTCTGGGTGGCTCAGTCAGTTAAGTGTCTGACTTTGGCTCAGGTCATGATCTTGCAATCTGTGAGTTCAAGCCCTGTGTCAGGCTCTGTGCTGACAGCTCAGAGCCTGGAGCCTGTTTCAGATTCTGTGTCTCCCTCTCTCTCTGACCCTCCGCCATTCATACTCTGTCTCTCTCTGTCTCAGAAATGAATAAACGTTAAAAAATTTAATTAATTAATTAATTAATTAAAAAAGAGTGTGGAAAAGGAAGGCAAACAAGCAAGTTGGCTGGCCAGCCACATTAAATGGGAAGCTCCATAGTGGTTTTTTACAAATTGAATTCAAATTCGTTTACCCCCTGGTATTCCCTCTTTAGTTCCCTTTCCACTCCTCTAATCAGTTTCTTACACTTGACCTTACCTTTTTTTACCCTTTCACCAAACCTGCCAGGACCCCAAGGGCATTTGAGTCTTCCACCCTGTGCTCTAACCCATGCTCCAGCTGTATTACTCAAGTGTCCGTTGTCTGCTGGACATAACAGAATAGAGATTCTGTAGGTATATGGTAGTTTCATTTCTGCCTTCCACACCATAGGAACAAACTGTGGGAACCTGGAATTGAGTATGCTTACATGAAGGACTCTTCCAAAAGAAATCCTATGCCAGCACTCAGAAATACAAGACTATTTTTAAGTACTTGGCAAAATAAAGATTTCTTTCTCCATACCCAGTTGGGAAGATGAAGTTTTTCCTCTCTTATCTAAATTTAGCCTTCACACTGCTCAGAGAAACTTATTACAATCTGAATGATATAATAGCAAGGCTTCACAGATGGTACAAAATAATGGGCCTCCACCAACTTTTTTTTTTTTTTCCTCAGGATTAACTATAAAGAGTGCAGATTTCTTAACTGTTACAGCACAGAAGCCAACCTACACAATAAACACACTCCTATTCCAGGTCTGGTTTTTTGTTTGTTTGTTAAGTAATATCTACACCCAACGTGGAGCTTAGGGCTAAAACTCACAATCCCAAGATCAAGAGTCATATGCTTATTGACTGAGCTAGTCAGATGCCCCCACATCTGTTATTTTTAAATATTACTTTAGATTTTGAGAAACATTGTGTTTTTTTAATTTTTTTATTTAAAAAAAATTTTTTTAATCTTTAT